ATACTTAACTCAGCCTTGGGGAGCAGGGAGTGGGCAAGGGGAGGCTTTCTGGAGAAGGTGGTGCCTTAATTATGAGGAGTGAGGTGAAGGGGCCACAGAGCTACTGTGATGGTTACCTATGGAAAAAAAATAGTTCAGAGGGATAAGATGGGATAAGACTGAAAATAAATTGAAAAGATCCTAAAACAGAGAGAGTGGTAGGGAGAACATTTTGTGAAACAAATCACCAAAAGGATTCATCCTATGCTAAAAGAGAATTTGAGGAAAGGAAGATGGCAGGGTAGGGCGTGGGGGCGGAGGGGTGGTATCACCATCTAGGTTTATTTATATTTTTATTTATTTACTTATTTATTTTGCTTTGGTGACTCTAGTGACTTAGCTCAGATGTGCAGACTGCAACAGCTCCAGTATCTGGCTCCCTACAGTTAAGAAAGGACTCCTGAACTAATCTGATAAAAGGTCCCTTCCACACCTTCCTGTTTTACAAGTCATGTTTATCAGCATGACAGATAAAACCATAAATTGCATTTTCTATCAAATCATAGCAGCAACAGCTGAATGACATGGCCGCTAATTAAAAGCAGAAATTGAATACAGCAGATCTGCTGTTTTGTTTGGCTAATGAAACAAGAATAGGCTTGTGGTGACTTCTTGAAAGACATACGTTCCAGATGTCTTGGTGGAAGGGTTTTCATCAGTCTGTCTGGCTGGCTTTTTTTGTCTTCACCTTCCCCAGAATATTTCTGGAAACTAGCCACTTAGGTTTCCAACACTGTGCTCTGTGGCCTCTGAGGGCAAAGAGTATTTTTCTGGCAGCATAATGATATAACATAGTGATTAGGAAGTTGGGATTTGGAATCATATAACCTAGTTTCCATCTAAACTCTTCCCTTTGCTAGCCCTGTGACCTTGGGCTGGTTGCCTAACCTCTCTAAGCATCAGTTTACTTATCTATAAAATGGAACAATAATAATATCTGCCTTATAAAGTTATTGTGAGGATTAAATAAGACAGTACGTATGAGTCTGAGTCCAGGACTTGGCACATAGTAACAACTTATTTTTCTTTTTTTCTTTTTTGTCAGGAGATCAGCCCTGTGCTAACATCTGCCAATCCTCCTCTTTTTTTGCCGAGGAAGACTGGCCCTGGGCTAACATCCATGCCCATCTTCCTCCACTTTATATGGGATGCTGCCACAGCATGGCCTGACAAGCGGTGCGTTGGTGCGCGCCCGGGATCCGAACCGGTGAACCCTGGGCCGCCGCAGTGGAGCACGCGCACTTAACCGCTTGCGCCATCGGGCTGGTCCCAGTAACAACTTATTAAATATGAATTATTGTTGTTATTTCATCTTAACTGGCTCCATTTTGTAGTAATTTATTTAGAAACTAAGCTGCAAAATCTTGGTTTAGTAGCTCCTCGTGACAAGACCTGTGTCTTATTCATCTTTGCATATATAGGGCCTGGTATGTAGACGGCTGTTTTATAGTATATTGGCACATATACATCAGAAGGACTAAAATTTTGTTCTTTTATGTTAAGTAATCTGTCATTTCTTGTGGCTTGATTTTGTTCTGGATATTGCCATGGTTGTAATTTAAGCAGCTGTAGGAATTACCGTGTCATAGCAGTTGTTTTCAACCTTCTTTTTCTAAGGAGACACACTCCATACACAGCATTCTCCTGTGGAAATACTGAGCATCCGGAGCAACTCTGGTGTATTAGCTGTAACTCTCCCTAATTCTCTTCCACTTAAGGATGTAAGTTAGTATGCAAATAATCAAGAGTGACCCAATGACAGGATAATCATGAATCCACTGTAAATTAATTTTAAATCATTTAAAACATTTTTAACTATCATTCTTATTATTATATGATGACGAGTTCAAACTTCTTCAAAGAATTCTTTGAATTCTTCCAAGTCAGCACTTTTATTTCTCACCACTTCCTGTCCGCTTAGTCACCACTGACTATCCCCTCTGCCGAAGCTCTCTGTTTCCTCAGTTTCCATGACACCAGTATTGCTCTGGTACTCTCTACTCAGCCAAAACTGATCTTTCAAAGGCTGATGGTCACTACAAATCATCTCCTGTTGGTCCTCATCCTCCCTCCCCTCTAAGCAACATTCAATATTACAACTATTCCCTCCATGAAAGTCTCTGTTCCCTTGGTTTCCTTGACACCAAGAACTATCCTGGTCCTCCCTTCAGCCTTCTAACCATTTCTGTCTTCAATCATGTGCCTCTTCTTTCTCCCCTAACTCCAATCTGGGGATGCCCCAACGACTTTTCCCAGGCCGTCTTATTCTCTCTCTTCTCCCTTCCTTGGTAGTATCCATTTTCAGTACTTTAGCCATGACTCTTCTGTGTATAACTTCCATGTTTATCTGCTGGTTGACCTCCCTATCCAGCTCTGATCCCATGATTCCAATACTGTGGGAGCATTTGGAAGTTCATCTGGCAGCTCAAATTCAATTTACCCAAAATATTTATCTTTCCACTGAAACCAACTCCTTATCATGATTTTTGTTAGTGGATATCACACCTCTCTTAGACCGGCTTAAAAACCGTTGAGTTCGTTCTGGTACTTCTCTTTACCTCTGCCTTTTTTTTCTATCATTCTTTCACTTCAACAAAACTGTTCAGTGTTGCCGAGGCCTACCTCTGCACTGTCTTTTAATCCCTCCATTTTCTACTTCCTCTGAATGGTATTGCCAGCTGTAGAGGCAATGAAGAACATGGCACAGCTTCACAGTCTGGCAGTAGGGGAAAGGTATAAAAGCAGTAATTATAATACAATGATACAGAAGTAAAAGAGAGGCATCTCAGGAAAGAGAGGGCAGGGGAGACTTCTCGAAGGGAGTGACATAAGAGCCAAGTCTTGAAAGATGAATAGGAGTTAGACTGACAAAAGCAGGAAGGACATTCTGGAAATAATAACACGTGCAAAGGAATGCAGGCAAAGAAGAGCATGACTCATTGTTGAAGTGCAAGAAGTTCTGTAGGGCTGGAGCTCTGGCTTCGTGGCAGAATAACATGTGGGAAGCAGGGAGTAAACCTCCAGAAGTAGAAGGAATGGAGGAGGGGCGTGTAGGACGCTGTTTCAGTCACCTGTTGCTGCCTAACAAACCACCGCAAACTTCGTGCCCTAAAACAACCACCACCATTGATTATTTCTCACAGTTCTCCAACTGGGCAGTGATCTCTGGGAATGGTTCATCTCTGTTCCATGTGGTGCAGGCTGGCATAGCTCCACTGGGGCAGGAGGATCCAAGACCTTCACTCACATGTCTGGTGTTTCAGCTGAGGCGGTGGTAGCTGGCTGGGCCTCTTTCTCTTTTCAGGTGGTCTCACAATGTTCTTTAGTCTAACTCGGGGTTCTTGACGTAGAAGCTGTATCCTATGAGGGCAAAAAGAGGAAGCTTTGGAACTTCTTAAAGCTTAGGCCCAAGAGTCACGTGACAGAATGTAGGCCCTACGTTCTGTTGGTCAAAGCAAGTCCCAAGACCAGGTCAGCTTCCAGAAAAGGAGAAAGAGACCCTACCTCCCTTTGGGAGGAGCAGCATGAATGTAGCGGGGTGGGAGGAAAGATTGGCAGCCATCTTTGTATACGGTCTACCACAGGCCTTATAAATCACTGTATTCTATAGGGTACCATTGTAGGGTTTTAAGCAGCAGACTGACATTTTAAACTTATATGTTTAAAAATATCTCTTTGATCCTTTATAAAGATTGAATACAGCGGTTGGGCGCCAGTACTTGGAAACAGGGCAACCAATGAGAAGCTTATACCAGTATGTTACAGGTTAACCTCAGAAAAGTCTTTTCCATGGATCCACATGCCTTGAATGTGGGTGCAAAAAATTGCAATCACAATTTTTTCTCCTCGTGGAAGCAAATAGAATGAACAAAGCGTGACAGATTCTTTTTTTTTTTTTTTTTTTAAAGCAAGATACCACCAAGGTATCTGCCCAGGACTTTGTGCCACTTCCAGAAAGATGGATTCACATCTGTCATGGGGGACGAAATATGTAACACTGCAAATCCTCTGCCTAACGCTTTTTTGTTTAGAAATACTACTTCTTGCTTATTTTATATTGCAGTTTCCATAAATAAACCAGGAAAGTCAGCCGAGACTTTTGGGGAGGGCAGAGCTTGCTTAGTATTTCCAGGGGCTCTTCCTGCCTAGAGCATGCAGGTATATGTGACCATAAAACCCATGCAAAGTGAACCCCTTGACTCTTGCCTCTGGTCCCCACTACAGAGACTGACAGGGGAGGTGCCTATGAAAAAGCCACAAGAAATATTTACAGATTTTGAAATGTTTTATTATGCCACCTCATTCACTAAATTTCCTTCATGAATAACAGTTTTAATAACAATTTTAATTGTACATTAAGCAGAGGAAAGCGAATACTAGTGCTTACTAATGCTTCCTAGAGCAAACGGAAATCCAAAATCTGGGAATGGCAAGGAGACAGTCCTGGATTTTCAGGGCTTTGTACAGCCCCTTCACCTAAGTGTTCCTGGATCCAAGATTTCTATTTATAAGGAGAAGAGTCTTCCTTTATTGGTATAGAGCCTGAAGATAAAGTTGGAATATGGTCCCTCTTTGTTGGTGTTCAGATGCTGGCTCAGGTTTCTGAACACTTGGTTAATGCTGGGGTGGGCATCCGGATGATGTTAATTTCTCCTGCAGGCTCCAGAGTGCTGTGGCTAGAAGCCAGAATCACTTGGAGAGATTTGATCTCAAATCCCAGTTTTACCACTTCCTAATTATGTGACTGCGAGCAAATTGCTTAACCCCTCTAAACTTTGGTTTCTTCCTCTGTAAAACCTCAGTAATAATTCCACTTTCCTCATAGGATTGCTGTGATGGGTTAAAAGAAATACTATTTATTGCACTAAGCCCAGTGAATGTCTCAAGTGCTCAATAAATTTTAACTTACTGTTTTAATGGACTTCCTGCTGATCTTTGCTTTGTTTCTCTTTATTTCCCAGGGAGATGTTAATCTCTGTGGCTCTGGGCCAGGTGTTATCTCTCCTTATATGTGGAATTGGCTTGACCAGCAAGTACCTGTCAGAAGATTTCCATGCCAATACACCAGTCTTCCAGAGTTTCCTCAATTACATCCTTCTCTTCTTGGTCTATACCACCACCCTAGCTGTCAGACAAGGTAAGCATGCAAAAACACCACCAATATAGCGTGGTTTCTCTTTTTCAAACATCTAGAAGAATGATGAGCCATGACCAGATTAACTTTTTTCGCTTACAGCATCATCAGACAATTCAAAACCCCAAATCTCACTTTTCTATTTTGCAGTAATACAACAAACACAATGAACGAATAAATCACGAAGAAGCATGCATTGTGTGAATTCAGCAGGAAGTAGGAAGTGCACGTATAGGCAGAAATGTACAGTTGCTTGCTATTTGAATTGCTGTTAACATTCTTGGTACCCCTAGTGACTCTAAATTGCGTGCTTACCTTGGAAGCTTACCTGGAATCTGGAACAGGCGTGATGCAGTTGTCCTAAATAATGCCAGCCCTGGGAAATCCAAGGGAATTACAGACAAATATATGTTCTTTGGGAAAGTGACACGAGAAAGATAAAAATAGTAAACACAACTCTTGTAATAACAAAGGAGAAAAAAAAAGAAAAAACTACCACAGAAGGTCAGGTGAGGTGTTCTGTCTAAATTTAAAATAACTGAAACAATAAAACAAGTCCTCTGAGTCATTGCCAGAAAAACTTTTTAAGGGACAATTGCAGTTGAAATCCTTGGGTGTATCTCTGAAGAGTAGATTCAGAGCCTTATGATTATATCACTGAATCTGATGGAAACGCTTTTATGTATGGCCTAGAAATAGCCAACAATTTTTCCTCAATAGTAGATGTTGACTGTAAATATGCATTGAAAAATAATCATGAAAGGGTTGACGAAAATTATATATACCTTAATAATAAATAAAGATACATATATTGCTATATGTATCAGTCCTAATAGTCATACTTTTTTGAAACTTTTATGAGAACTGTTTATCAGTATTTAATTTTCACATTTCCTTATTTGGGTTGCTGTCTAGAATAATATTGCTTAATTATAGTGATTTGGCCAGTAGTCAGTTTCATCTTAGAGGGAGAATAAAAATGAACAAGTTGGGACTGAATTCCAGTTTAACTTTGGATTTGTTTAAAGTATTGGAGAAGCTAATTCCATTTATTTCTCAAAAATTGATGTTATTGGTGTTTGTCTTTTAAAATTTAACATCAGTAGACATAATTAATTTAAGAATAAAATTTCAACTAAAACCTCAGGCTCCAAAAGTTATAAGTACTGTGTCTCAGCTATATTTCCTCAGTGTGATTTGAAAGCTAATGATTTTGAATGATAAAAATGTTGTATTTAACAGTTACACCCGCCATTTCACCATTAACGCCTCAATCCAGGAAAAGACTCTAGGAAGTGGGGATATGGGGGAGGCATACCATTAGAAATTCACTTATGAGACACTTAACATGAAGAATGTGTAGTTTGGTTGTACCAAGAACAGAGAGCTCTGTAGTTCGACTTAAAACTCACTTGATGAAAGCTTGAATCATAGCTTAGAATTCTTATAGAATAGAATTATTTAGCCCAGTACAAGAAGTATAATTAAGAATAGTAAGATTCAATTAAAAACAATTTTTTGACACTCTCATATTACCAAATTAAAAAAAATTCACGAGAAAGTAGTGAATTTATCTTCGCTAGTGATTTTTAAAACCGAACAGTCTAGGCTACGAATGGTGAATTGCAGCTAGTGTTTGGGTTCTTGTCCATCTTACTTTCCAGGATTCCAGAGATTTAACAAAAACCTGCATCAGGAAAAAAATAAAATCAAGCCATCCTAAGAAACAGAGAGAAAAATTTCACCGTGACAAGTAGAGGCAGAAAAGCTTAGAAAACCAAACTTAGAAAAAGACCCAAAGTTAATAATAATACCTTCTACTAAGCCTTTATAATGTACTAGCCACTCTGTATGTGAATTATCTCTTTTATTCCTTCATTCCAAGGAAATAGATATTATTATCCAAAATTTTATAAGTGAGAAAACCAAGGCTTTGCCTACATAGGAACATGTTCCAGGCTATAGAACCAGGAAGTGTGGAGGCCCATCCTAGGCCAGGGCTGTGTTTTCCTGGCTCACTCTGCCTTCCCCTTGACCATGGGGAGGCAGGAGGAGGAAAGGGAGACAATTTTTAACAAAAGGAGGGTTTTTTTCTTGAGATTCAAAACCCTGAATAACAAACTAACCCTGAATGCAAGGTCTAGTGAGGCACAGCAATGAAGTCAGGAGGCTGTGATCATAGATGGTGCCGGGGAGTGAGTGGGGAGGGTGGGCAAGGCAGAGGCACAGCTGGAAAGAGGCCAAGGACTAGAAGCAGCGAGGACCTTGGAGGCTCTTTGGAAAGAAGACTGAAGAGGGCCTGAGGAAATTCTGTCTATCCCAGTCAGTGAGGGAGAGATTCAATTTCTAAAATGCCCTATCTAGAAATGTTTGCCATTGCCTCAGATTATCACTAAATTTGCTGGCGTGTCTTTATTTGGGTGTTTATTCAGAATGTGTGTTTGTTTTACGCTTCGTCTTTAGATGTTTTAATAGGCTGGCATTAAGCTAACATCTGGAAATCAACATAGTAATTACGTTAATTTTGTATAGGCTGATTCAGTACTATATTCTAGAGACATAATAATCTCTTTCCTCTCACACCTCAAGATTTGAGAGGGAATGATCAACAGAGCAAAGAGAAGAGGATGGAAAGTCTGGTGTGTGCGAGGGAGGTGCTCTCATAGCCACAATTTCTCCTCCTTTCCCTGTGCTCCCTGACCGCTCTCCCCAGAGGACTGCAGGTTAGGACTAAGCAAGATACCTGTCTTCTCAATTCTCCCAACACGGACGTCACCATCTTGTTTTGATACCACTTAACACCATATAACAGCAAGAAGTTAGACTCAGGAATATATTTTTAAACAAATCTTTCTTCATAATTTTAACCATACAACTTCTAAAAATTTATGATTGTCACATGTAAACACAATGTGATAAATGCAAGAGGCCTTTCAAGAGTGTTAAAGGTAATGTTATTACAGAAGCCTCATCGAAATTTGACTTCAAAGTTAAACTGAATTCTCTTTATCAAATTTGCATTGGACCAATGATCAAAGACTCTGAAGCAATAGGTTCCAGTAGAAGTTCCGGTATAACTCCAGTTCAAACTGGAGTTTTGAACTTGTCCCTAATTATCAATTGGTTCCTACAAAAATTTGAGTACACTCTTCCTTAAAAATTTTGTATCTTGTTGAACAAGTTTTAAGTCTAGCCCTCTCTTGGATTGGTGCTAGGTTTTCTTCCAGATGGTTCTAAAATTCAAAAAATTCTTGCTGTTCATAACAACTTTGTAGGAAATAAAAGTACTTCAAAAAGGTAGTTCCATTGACATTGTATCAAGTTTGAGAATTTAGGTAAAATTTAGGAAGCTGTTACTTCAATAGGTTGGTTGTAACCACTTTTGAGAAGTTACTCAGGCAGTTAAAATGTACACATTGAGGTAATGCCTGAAATGAACTCATGCTCTAGGTACAAAGTAGGGTTTCAGGAATTGTAAAGAAAACTGCAGTCCTCCTCCTCTGTGTCTTCCCTTTACTCTCACACTACTACCACACTTAAAACACTTCTGACACCAGATGTGGGGTGGGCAGGGTGTTCCCACACCATGCAATTCTGCGACACCAGCTGGGTGTCCTACAATTTACAGTTCTGACACTATCTACCTGGAGATGGCATCAGATACCACAGATTAAGGGCTCAGTCCCACAAGACTGCCCCCCTCATTCAAATGCCAATCGCAAGTCCAGGTTGTCACTTGTGCTTCTGACCCAGCAGCTATAGATCAGAGGTTCCCACGACCTCCTCCTCAGGTTTGATTAATTTGCTAGAGTGGTTCACGGGACTCAGCAAAACAGGTTACTTACTGTTTACCAGTTTATTATAAAAGAATATGATAAAGGATATAGATGAGCATCCAGATGGAAGAGATGCATAAGGCAATGTACGTGGGAAGCGGGGTGGAGCTTCTCCCCTCTCTCTGGGCACACCACTCTCCCAGTACCTCCACATGTTCACCAACCCTGAAGCTCTTCAAATCCTATACTTTTGGGATTTTTATGGAGGCTTCATTATGTAGGCATGATGGATCATTAACTCCATTTCTAGCCCCTCTCCCCTCTCTGCAGAATGGGGAGGTGGGACTGAAAAGTCCAAGCTTCTAATCATGGCTGGGACTTTCTGGTGGACCCCAGTCCACCAGGGTTAGGGTTAGGGTTAGCCCCTATCCAGGAGCCCACCAAGAGTCACCTCATTGGAACAAAAGACATTCCTATCACCCTGGAAATTCCAAGGGATTTAAGAACTCTGTGTCAGGAAACAGGGTCAAATGTTAAAACAAAAGATATATCAAGTGCTCTCATTGCTTAGGAAATTACAGGGGTTTTAGGAGCTCTGTGCCAAGAACCAGAGGCAGAAACCAATATATATATTTTCTATTAGCTCACAGGAATATAACTAAGAAAGTACAATGAAGCTTCCAAAACCTTATGGATTTGCCTAGGAAATTCTCAAGAGAAGGCTCTTGCTCATATCTACTTATTTCTTAAAATTCCATATAAAGCTAGCTGAAATCAGGAAGCAGAGAAACACAAAATGCAAAGACTATAAACAAGAGGAAAGAAGAACAGGCTGGGGTCCAACTGAAGACCACCCGGTTCTTGCATTCGTGATGTAGAAACAAGAAATGTGACAAGCTTTTAAAAACAATGGTGAAAATAGGATATATTTCCTATCAAGAAAAAATATGTCATCACACTTTTTGCCCATAAGCTTCTCTTATCAATTATTACGAGAATGCTGCTGCTTCCCAAAACTGCTTTCAGCGGTTCTTAAATAATAGATACCCATGGTGCCTCTTTGGCAATTTTTAATGTCTGAGCCTATATAAACCACCAAATTTTTAAGTACTCAATAATTTCCTCCTCCTTTTCTTCTTCTGCCAATTTTTCTCAGTTCTTGTCTCTCTCCTAATTGCTTTTTATTTTCCCATCAACAATTTAACTCAGTGATGGGGGAGGTTTGGC